ATTTTTCCTTTTTTTTTTAAAAAAAAAATTTGTTAATTCAACTGTAATGTTACCTATCATGCACATATTAGTATTATTTTTTCTGTGCATAGATCATTTAATAATTTTATTTTCTAATTTTTTCTTTCTCAATATAATCTTAAATTAAAACTGTGTGTCCTCTAATTCTTTAGTCCTTATTTTTCAAAAGAAATATTATTTTTTCTTTCAACTAGTAGTTGTTTGTAGCTATATCTAATATAACTCGAATAATTGTTTACAATCTTAAAATATTCAACACCATATATATCGAATTTTCCCATGGTGTTGGAGTCAAATCATATTATATATTATTTTTTTATGTGAAAATCAAATAATATTATCATGAACAAATGCTAAAAATGAATAATATTTTTCTTGTTATTTGATTCTAATTTAATTTTCTATTATCTTTTTACAAATTCTACTCTCCTTTAACTTAAAATTGTAATTTCCTTTATTTACTCAAATGAATTTTAAATATGATTTTCGTCATTTTAATTGTATTCTAATCTATAGATAAGAAATCATATGAAAAAGATATTATCATTCTTCTTCACCCTAGATTTAAACTTGATTACAAATCTAACATTGTCTTAACTAATTAACAAGCTTCTTAAAAATTCATCTTAAGGAGTTCTTTTGTCGTATTGTATTGGATTTATAAATATTTCGTGTAACGAGTTCTTTTGTCGTATTATATCGGAATTAAATTATTGTGACTTTTGATAATCATTATCTTTTGTCGTAATCGGAAGATATTTGGTGTAAGCAAAATCCGAAATAACATGTAACGGTTTTCTTGTCGTATTTACTTAATAATACTTTAATCTTTATCATAATTTCAATAACAATGCCATTAAAACATAATCTGTATGTATCTTAACTCACAGATTTTTAGTATTAATTAACAAGAAAAGTACAAGCACATTTATTATATTGGTAATGCCCATGGCCATTGAAGCAATTGCTCATATGTAGCAAATCCCTGAACTTTTTAAGTAATTAATTGGTAGTTTTAATATTTATACTGCATCTTTAAAATAACTAGTAATGATTTCAGGGATTGATGCCTGTGACAATTGCTGTGAATCCCGAATGGGAATTTGCTTTGGACGATGTTGATGAAGAATGCAACAAGAAGAATTGAAAACTCCATTGTTGATCTTCTAGCTGCCTTTACTTAATCAGCCTTGTATCAGTCTCTTGATGAACTGTTTGTGCTTCAATTTAACTTGAACACATGTTCATCTAACCCTTTATAATACTAATCAATAAAAGTTTGTGTTTTCAATACATGAGGAGATTGAGTTTTTAGGGTTTTGTTACTATAAATTAATTTGATCTCATTTAAGAACGAGTTTATCTATCATTATATTAAAATATGTCAAAATATATAAAAAAGTAATTTCACTTATTTCAATTTTGGACAAGTTCGTTTTTATAAAAAATAAAAAAAAAAAAATTCTAGCTTACGGTATTTTCATCCAATTTTTTATTGGTACTTATACATAGTGAAAAGAGAGAATATTTCATTTACTATTTATGATATTGCTACACAAGAGAGACTGTTTAATTACATTTCAAAAATAATCAACCCAGGCTTTGATTTGAAAACAAAGTGATAATTGAAGAAGACTTATAATTGAAGAGACAGAACGGTTACAACAGAGACAAATGCATGCCAAATGTACAAAAATGGTAATCCAAGGCCTGCCACATTAATTCCTTGGTCATACCTTCTTCTTCTCTGTCATATAACTATCAAATACAGACAAATTAATTTGACAGTTTGAACTAAAAAATGCAGCTTTTTGCTCTCTCCTCTTCAGTTATCTATCACTTTGTGTCCCTCAGTTTACTGGACAAGTCCAAGCAATCTCTTCTCTCTGTTTATTCTCTCTAGATTGCTGTTCGCGTGGGCCCAAATTTAGGCCTTGGCTCAATTTATATGGTTAGCAATTCTTTGGTCCATTCTGTTATTATACATAGTTTGACCCAAATTTAGGCCTTGGCCCAATTTGTATTGTTAATATGCAAGCTGTTTGCCCCAACACTGGCCCAACAAGCTCTAATTATTCATAGTTATCCAAGAAGACATTGTGGGGGAGGATTCCAAAGAACATGATTGCCCAAAGGAAAATTCCTAGCAAGCTTTGGGAGAGAATTCATACAGAAATTAGTTTCTCTACATATAAAACAGCTGATAGCTAAAAAAATAGCTAGCGGTTATAGTTGACAGCTATGGCAACATTTGATAGCTACTGCAATATTTAATATTGTTGAACATGGCTTTTAGAGTGAAGGAATGAAAAGGAAACAACAACAGTGACTTTTTAAGTCTAACCTTAATGCCAACCGTCCATACATTGTTGTGGTGGAGCTTGAAGGCTTTGAGCCGCAAAACATATCAAGGGAGCAACAACTAACTTAAATTAGGCATGCTAACGGTTAGTTTGAAATATAATCAAACATTTTTATAAATTAAAATTGATTTTAGATCATCGATTTTAAAAATTGAACAAGAACTAACAATTCACAGTGAGTGAAGATTCTTTTTTTCTTTTTTTTTTTCTTTTTTTTTTTTTTTTTTTTATAAAAATTGGAGCAGAATAACATTCACGCTGATGAAGATTCTATCTGATTTCTTTTTTTTTATTTTCTTTTTTTTTTTTTTTTATTTTTTGGTGATAAACTGAAACATGTCCATATCGGAGTTGAATGTGGTATATTCAATTCGTTTGAGTTTTTAAAATTTTTTTCTTATTTTTTATTTGTTGTAGGCTTGGTTCAGCTTCAAAGCCCATTATTTTTAAAACTTAAAACAATTTTGATTTTTGATTATAATTCAATCCTAATATTATATATTTTATTAATATAACGGTTATGAAAAATTTAGTTAAACTTAACAATTTAATATTACTTCCTTTTTTTTTTTTTTTTTTTTTTTTTTTTTTTTTTTTTTTTTTTGTGATAAACTGAAACATGTCCATAATCGGCAGTTGAATTGGTTATTCAATTCGTTTGAGTTTTATACAATTTTTTCTTTTTTTATTTGTTTAGGCTTGGTTCAGCTTAAGCCCATTTATTTTTAAAACTTAACAATTTTGATTTTTGATTTAATTCAATCCTAATATATATATATATATATATAATAAGCTTATGAAATTAGTAAACTTAACAATTATAAATATTTTCCCCTTTTGTTACATTTAAATCCGTCCCCAGCTTGTAGATTTCTAATTTGCAATTAGTCTTATTGATTGTTCATGTTTTCATTTTTGAGGCATACGAAATAAAAGACTAATAATGCTGCTAATCTTATGCTTGTTAGGAAAATACTTATCTACTCATGTCATACAAGTACGCAACTGTATTATGTTATGCTCATGATAATACTATAATTGCACACATCAATATCATCCTTCTCTCTTTAATTTTTGTAATAAGATTATAAGCTCATATCTGCCCAAAAGTAATTAAAAGCAAACCCAATTGATTTGGTTTGATTTTGTACACCATTCAACATTTATTTGGTTTACATTACTTCTATATATTCGGTTTGTATGATTTAATTTGAAATGGACCAACTAAATTTTTACCTCTACACTATACATCGGTCGGTTAAGATCTAAGAGGAAATTGATGTGATGGAGGAGGAAAAATAAGCCTCCAGTTTCAAAATCAAACTAGTTCAAGTTCTTAGTTACTCTATTATAATATCCGTTGGAACTGGAGGTAAACTGGAGGTTTAAAACTCAGTTGGAACCAGTTTATTGGGAAATGCGACAGGCAAATTGTCCGGTTTAATGCCTATCAGAACCGGCTGAAAACTTAATTAGACCGCATCACGGTTGGCGCTGGATGCATAGGATGTATTGGGCCAACCTAATCGTTCTTTTAAAAGTCCAGAAAAGCCAGATCAGTTAGGCCCTCGAATTGTGGCTTAGCCCATTTCAGGCCCATTAAGTAGGCTTAGGCCTTATTTGCAATGTAAGATTCTTCAAGTGAATAAAACTGGTAATTAAAAAATTTAAAATATAACGTTTTCATCATCAAATTTGCATTCTTTGAATGAACAAAACTGAAAAGATATATGTTTTCATCATCAAATTTGATTCCAAGTTTTCTACACCTTTCTTCCCTTAGTTTCTATACTAAAAGCCTTAACCTTGTAGTATAAGATTACAGTCTTGGTGTGTAATTGTGCTTACAAGATCTTATATTGTCTAATTTCTAATTTTTATTTACTATGGATTTGCTATTCCTATTGGAAAAAATAATATATTGTTGAGAATATTGATTAAAAATTATTCAATTTTATTTTAAAGTGAATATAACATATAATAAACGTAAAAGCTCAAGCATTCTAGCAATCAGGTGATGGTCTTGTTGGTTTTCTAACTTATGTGAAGAATAGAAGGTATTGAGTTCAAGTCCTCTCGACTACAATTTTACCAAATTGGTGAGCCAATAAGTGCGTTACCCCTATTTCGGCCCATAAGAGCTCTAATGAATTAAAAAAAAAAAAACCTTTTTGGAGAAAAGAAAATTCAATTACAATATCAAACATACTCTTATTTAATTTTTTTTTTCCCTTAATTATGTTAATCTAAAACTGGGATGGTTAAATAATTCCTTGGATTTTAATTGTTAACACATGGAAAAGTATTAGATTAACAGATAAACTAGTTATCTAAACCTCACATTAATTGGAAATTAAACAATATTATGAATGCGACTCTTATAACAGCTTTATTTTACAAGACAAGATTACCAGATACCATATGGTATAATATAGAAGGTAAATACTATAGATTTTTAATGATATCTTCTTTGAACTTTTCTTTCTGGGCCAAAAATCTTCTTTGAATCTTTCCTTTTGGGCCAAAAATAGTCTTTGAAAATTTTGATTCCATAAAGAAGACAAATGGGTAAAAAATAGGGTGAGTTTCCACTAATTTTGACCATCAAATGACACATTTTAAAGGAAAAGGACCACTTGTCATTCATGCCAATTTAAGGACCATATTTTGTATATCACATTTATGGAACTTAGAAAGTGACAAAGAGATGGTCTCAAAACCACATCACAAGAGCCAATACACATACCCTATAGTTGCATTTTTGTTTGTATACAAAGCATACTCACATCACCTAAATTGGCCCTTTCATTGAAGGCAAAAAAACCCAAAATTAAAAGCAAAGCCACAGCACGTAACTAAGAAAACTTAAAAATTGTCAAAACAAATTCTCTTTTGGCTTCAAACTTGCTCGTCATGTGACCCATTGACCATAACTTGGTTCTTCTCTAGCTGAGGCTTTCCTACACCCATTTCAACAGACTGTGATGTGGGTTTTTTGACATCATCACTATCGTCCACTCCTTTGCCATTTCTGTAGATGAAGTATAAGATTAGCTGAACTGTACCTAGACCACATCCGAACCCATTTGGGACCTGAAATTTATTGAAATTATTGTCAACTTTTTTGCATGAAATGGATAATTAATGCTGCAAAAATTAATGGGTAATAAGTGAAATTTAAGAGAAACTTACAGCAACAAAAGGATCATGGCCGAGTAGACCATAGACGAACCAGGAAGTGCCGCATAGGAACACAAATAGTGACAAGAAGAATGGCATAAACTCTACACTCTTAGTTTTAATCACCAACCTCTGCACAGATATTATAAAAGAATTTTAAAAAATCTCATAAATATCTTAATTCTTTGTTATCATTATCAAATAATAACAGAATTAACAATTAACGTATGGTACTTTTTATCCATTAATTTACCTATTTTATATCTCCTAATCCATAAGAAATATCTTCTAAGTGACAAGCACAAGAATAATATGCCCTTTAATTTCATCAATTTTAAATTTTTATTCAATCATGATTAGAAATAGAAATTAATTTTCATTATTTCTTTAAAAGGGGTAAATAGTAGAATTTGTAATAAAAGAACAGAAAAATTAAGGGAACAGTTTAGGAATTTTGACTTACAATGATGGACAGAGGTGAGGCATACATGATGATAGAGAAGACAGTAGCAGCCAAGCCACAGAAGAGCTTTCTGGTGCTTCCGTGGAGGGCAAACAGAGACACGAAGGCCACAGTAGCAAAAATGGTGAGCACAAGTGTAAGGAGGCCTAAGATTTTACCCTTCTCCTTCCTTGTTGCATATAAAATGAAAACTAACACGTATATGCTTTCAATTACAGATCCTGTCCCGTTAATTGTTGACACCAAAATATTGTTCTTGGAGACAAATGGCAGGCCATACCTATACAGAAGAAAATTTTCAAATCAGTAGTTACTCAAAAACATAAAACATGTGGGTCTAATTGAAACTGAGTAGAAATTACTCATGATTAGACTGAATACAATGATCCCAAGAACAGAACAGGATACAAAAAGAAATGTGGGTAAAAAATAATAAAATGTTCAGGAATTGAACCAAGAAATTGCATGTGAGTGAAATTAAAATTGATGGGAAAAAATTAGCAAAAAGAAGCTAAAAATTGCCCCAATAACACGAGATAAAAAGAGGCCATAGTTGCAATTGATTACCTTTACAGGATAAAAATCATCAACAAAGTGAAAAGACAATCAAGAAAAGCTTTAAGAGCAAACTTTTTGAAGGAAAGTAAAAAACTAAAAAAGAGCAAGCTTGAAAGAAAAAGTATAAAACTTAGAAATAGTAAAAAAAGTGGTTGAAGCAACAAGATGTATACCAGGCAGAAAGGAGACAGTTGAGCAAAGTCATCACATATGGGACGCCTGAAAATTGCTCTGTTGATTTACTCTTTATTATTCTCTTGAAAGTAATCCTATCAACAAATTGTAATCCATAATTTAGCCAATAATTTAAATAGAAATAAGCATTTTCAAGAATAAATAAAATCAAGAAATTTAAGAACAAGATAATCAAGAATAGAAGAACAAGAACAAGAAACAGAGCAGGGGAGAGAGATATATAATTACGTTGGAGACAAAAAGAGGAATAAAGCAGTAGCATTTCCTGCAAAAAAAAAAAGAACAAAACGACAGAGAAGCCATTAGAATGGAACCAAGAAATGGAAAATCAACAACAAGAAGAGGAAAATTCAAGAAAACCCACCAAAAACCCCAAACAAGAAGTGCAGAACATTCACCATTTTCGTGAAGATTAAAACTTGATTAAAAAAGCAAAGAGAAAAAAGAAGAAATCTTTGAAAGAACTAGTATTAATGGATTAGAATCAGAGAATTTCAGAGCAAGAGAAGCAATAGTGATGGGTAAGTGTGTGTGAGGAGTGAATGGAAATGAGAGGCAATGGGATTTATATAGAGGAGGAAGGTTGATTCGTATAACCGCCTTGCAGTAATTTTTGGGGTTTTCAGTTCGTTCTTATCTGCTTGGTAATTCATCAATTTGGTTACTGTGTTTGAACTGTGTACCAACTGACATGAAAGGGCAGTGCTTAGGAAATAAGGTGTAATAACATGTTTGAATTAAATATTTATCCATACCCTAAAATTTTATCTATATCATTACTAAGAAAGCGTAAATAAGGAAACTTATACATCTACATGTGATTGATAAGGAGTAAACTGTAATTCAAATAAATTTTACCTCTAAAATTAATGATTCAAACCTTAGAGATATCAACAGTTAAAGATTTTATCTAAATATCTAAGTTCCTCCAATAAAAAGAAACCTATATACTCCTAGCCTTGAAATTTATTTGATCTGGATAAGAAAAATATGTTTTTTTTTTTTTTACCTTCAAATTAGTGTCTAGTAATAATAACAATAGTAATAATAAATAATGTTAATTTTGTTGAGGATGTTGATGCATTGTGATTTGAAATGATAGAAAGCAAAATCTGTAGATTTCTCAATATTCATGAAATGTGAAGTCCTCCATTTATGACCGTGAAATTTACAGAATTTCACATTTTATCATTTGATTGAAAATAAAATCCATTGGTTCAAAAGTAGTTTTGAAATAAAGTGAAAAGATCATTTTTATTGATGAAATTGATACTAAAAAAGACTCAATTACAGGTATGACTGATTGATTCGTTTCCATCTGTACTTACCTACAAAAAGAAGTCGAAAAAATCAAAATTAAAATGATAAATGCAACCACAATATTTCGACAAATTAGTAATCAAAAATTGTGACGAAACAAATTTTGTATGTAACCATCACGTTCTTTTGTTACAAGCGATGAAATTTAAACAACATGTGGATGTTTTAGATTCCTTTATTTGCTTTTGAAAAAATTAAGTCATAATGAAACTAATACATTCTATCATAGTTTCAATTGGTCTATCATTTTAGAAGAGAGAAATCTTCTTTCATAGAAGGAGACTTTTTCAATTCCATCATTTTTATTAATATTGAAATTTAAACCTTTTAATTTTATTTTTAAAAAATATCGTTCAATTTCATGTATTATATTTTCTAACAAAATGATGAAATGCGAAATTCATGGATTTTATATTTCATCAAACTAAGCAATAGGTGGTTAGTTATAAACGGAGCGGAGTGAAAAGAAAACAATCATATAGCTAATCCCATCTAATTTTAGAATTAATGCTTAGTTGTTACTGTGAATCCAAACAAGGACTAAGTGATTTAATTCCATCTTTAATAAGTAAAAATTACAGTAAGATATTTGTGGTTTACAAAATATGACTAGTCTATCTCTGTCTTTTAGGAAATAGACTAAAATATCTTTATAGTTTACTTCCGTCAGACTATAAGATGACGAAAATACCCCTTTTATTTTTAAAAATACAGAGACGGAGTATTTTTCAAATTATAAGGACTGTACTGTAATTTTTTTGATATAATATTTTAATATTTCTCTTTTGATCTCTATATTTTTTTCTCGACTTAACAAAAAAATAAAAAATAAAAATTAGATAAAATGACTTTACAGTGTAATAGAAGCAAAACATAGGGACGAGCTGTAACTTTCCCAAAAGAAAAGGAAAGAAACATGAAATCCTAAACGCAATGTGAAAACTGATCACACTTTTGAAACTGACGTTTGTATTGGTGAGAATACAGTGAAAGTTTGTTTAAAGAGAAATTTCTGATTTCTAATCATCTCATTTTCCCACTGCAATTGTTTTAAGGGAATGATCAGCATGTGGGGCCTAACTAGATCTACTTACTTTCTCACACTCTAACTATTAGTCTAACTAGTCGTATTTCTACGCATTATGCGGATTAATATTAATAAATATTACAAATTAAATTTGATTAAAAAATATAAATAAATTAATATGATGAAAAAAAATAATATCTATCATTTACCGTTTTTCTTATTCTTTGACTACGATAACAGAAAGTACTCATTCAACTTTTTCTATTAATTTATAAAAATGATAAAAAAAATTCTATACTAATAAAATAAAAACAATAAACTCGCCTTCTTAACTAAATTAAAAAAATCAACATAAATATTGATATTATAAGTTCAAATAATTACTCAAATCATAAAATTATCTGAATGAAAAAAGAAAAAAACTTCATAAATCTTTAATCATAGGTGTTTTTTTTTTGTCAAGATATTAATTTTTATCACTATTTAAAAAATGTCGAATATATAAAAAAAAAATTTATATGATAAATTTAGTAAATGCAGTACTCATATACATAATAAGATTTAAAAAGAATAGAGGATAATTAAATTACAAAATAACAAAATTAGGGGAAAGAAATTGGATCAACCGACTTTCTTAATCTTTGAGTTTTTTTCTTTTTTTTTTTTTTTTTTTTTGAATTGCGAGGAAAGAAATTGGTCAAACGGACTTTCTTAATCTTTTGAAGTTTTTTCTTTTTTTTTTTTTTTTTTTTTTTTTTTTGAATAAAAAAATGGAGGGAGTATTAAAAAGAAAATTTACTGCTAATTTAATCAATGCAGGCTATTTTTAGTACATATAATAGAATCAAACAGGGAACGAAACATGAAATGGGATGAAGTCCAATAGAAATTTTGATTTCAGTACTTTGTTTGGTTATAGAAATAAGAGAAATACTGTAACGAGAAATCACGAAGAGACCGAAAAACCAAAATGACAAAGACATTGTTTAATATTCTGTAAAAAATATAGGGACATATATGGTTTTTTGAAAAAAAAAATATTTTTTGCCTATTTCAACTGGAATTTATATTTTTTTATATATTCTTTTATTATTTGTATTTTCATACTTATGTTAATCAACGATGGAAGGGAGAATTAAAATTCCATTTTATGTAATGGACCCTTTCATTTTTTTTGTTTTTAGAAAATCATACTAGAAATTTCATTAATTGGAAACTGTATATAGATATGAGATACGGATGAATATGTTTCTATATTTTTATATAGAAAGTCTAATAATAAATCACTTTACAAAGAATAAAAAAACACAATTTTGATTTGAAGTATCTGATTGAGAATAAAAAAAACGCACAAATTTTGATTTTGAACGTAAGTCTGATTTGGAGTTGACAGAGGTAGTAATATTTTGTGCCCCGTAATTAGCATCGGGGCATTTTGCTCTAGGTAAGGCTGGTGGCAGTATTCATGGAAATGGGTCAGATGGTTTCGGCTACCATGGTCTGTTTCTACAGAGTTGCAAATATGTATTATCTTCAAATCCTTCATTCTAGTGAGGATAGAGTACGTACGGATCTTTCTGTGCATGAGTTGACAGAGTATAATATTTGTGCTATAAGCGATCGCTTGCTCTACTTGGTGGCTATTCATGGCCATTGTTCGACTCCATGGTCTTTCTACAAGTATGATATGATTATCTTCAAATTTCTTCCTTCTAGTGGAGATAGATACGTACTTCTTTCTGCATAACTATCCAAATAATAAAAGATGCTAGATAAAATTACAATAATGGTGATAACAATAACTCAGAACTAGATATGAGAACAAAATTTCAAAACATGAATAACAATCAATCCCAATATTTAGGCGACAATAACCCAGATATGTAAACAGATCTGAGAATTATTTGCAAAAAAGGGAACAAAAAAAAGAAAGAGGTGACCACCGATAAGAGCTCATCGGTGGCTGTGCATGGAAGAAGAAAAGAGAACTTTTAAATTCTAGCTTTTGAAAGAGATATTAAGTTGACCTTTGATTTTGTGTACAATGGGTGGACCCATTCAATTTTTGAACTGCAATTACTTGATAAAATAATTTAAATTAAATTATCTATATCTATATCTATTTATCTATTTATATAAATACATAACAGCCCAACCACCTAATAATCCAAATTATAAAACTTTTCATTTTTTATATTCAATAATTAATAACCATGTAATAAATTTATTTCATAAATAAAAACTCGTTGTTTTCTTTCTTTTGCAATAATTAATAAAAAGAGCTTGAACTTTTCAAAATTTGACCAATACTTTTAATAGCTAAATTTGCCAAAAACATGAAAATTCAGGCTTTTTAAGTGATTTAGCATTTTATCTAAAATGCCCTTGATAATAGTTAGTTGTGAAGCCAGCTAAAATGGAAGGGAGCCTCAATAAAAGCGTTAATTGTATTTGTTGCCCCCAAACTTTAAAAGAAGGCAGACAAGTGGTCTTCCTTGAAACATCCAAAAAATTCAAATATTCCATTTTAGTGTACTTGAATTTAAATAGCGAATACTTTCTTTAAAATAAGCTCTAAAATATTGAAACTTTTGGCCTTAAATTTTAATAATCTAGCTGAATTTAATTGGTTCTCACGTTAAGGAAAAAATTTCTGCCTATTTTAATAATTTCCTTACTCATATGTAATAAATAGAGCCTAAAACTTCAAATTTAAAGCTAAATGCAACTGCTCCACTACTTGTTTTGAATTTAGAGAGTATTAAATGCTAATCAAAATATTACCTGACACTTTTCTATTTTCTCATGCTAGACAATGGTTATAGCAGAACTAGTCCAAAGGCAAACCAATCTTTTCGTTTTGGCACACTTCCCGCACTTTCCAATTAGCGTAACTTAAATTGCATTTTTAATATATAAAAAATATCTAAAAAGAAATTTTCTTTAAATAAAGAAAATAGACATATACTATAATTATACTTTTCTTAAAGATATATTTTTCATAATATTTTTCTTAAATAATTTGATTTTTTTTAGTTGTTCTTGGCCTATTAGGCTGAGTTTAATTTCACTCGGATCGCATCAAATTTATAAAGAGAAAGTGCTTTTAATCAGAAATTTTCTTTTTCATTAGAATCGAACACTTTAGGTCTTGTTTAAGCGATTTAAGTCTTTTCTATTCATACCATTTTTGTTGATTTTATTATGATATTCTGTTAT